ACTGTTGGTACCTGGCCTAGTGAAGCAGAACCAGGAGTGGCTGCTGAGGCGGTTTGCCAGAACTTAGATTCACTGTCAACATACCCAGATGAATCCTGGACCTGACAGCCGGGATTCAGAGAATACTGTTATCTCCTGCTCGTAAAATGCCTGGGATCACCTGCACCCTTCAGCTCTCTGTGGTGTGTGCCTTGTGGCTTCAACCATCTGAATGTTTTGGTATTCAGCTTTTGCAGCTGGGGATGTTGGCCACTTGGCGCTAGTATTCTGTTACCTTTCATAGAATTTCAAAGGCAGCTTCAACATGCAACACTGAAGGTTTTAGTGATGGAGAGCTAAAAATAAAGTATGGGGAGAGATACTTTGGTGTGATTGATACATGTCCTGCTATTCGCATCCTTTTAGTGTCATGTCTCCTGCAGGATGTTGTTCTGTGAACTTGTAACTGCATCACACATGTTATGAAGAAGGAAACTTTTCCCAGGCTTGGCATCTGGAAAAATGTGAAGAGTCTTTAGTGAGATGGTTCACGAAATAGTGAACAATGATGAGATTGTAATGGTCAACTTTTCATTTTGCATTTAAAATGATCCACACCTTTCCACACCTATTGGGGTTTAGGCTTTTTTCCTTTTGTGGTGGTATATTTTGAATGCACTCTTCAGCTCTGTTCCTGGTAAATCATACTCATTTGAAACCCTCCCATGCTTTTAACTATGATAAAGGCTTGTTAGTTTGCTTTTGGGAAGAGTTTCCCAAATTGCTCCTACAACTTTTGCTGGATACAACAGACATTTTCTTCCCTTTTTGACATCTAGGTGTAGTATTGCTGTTGGTGTTTGTTGCAGTACTTCTTGTCGCTACCCCATTCCAGGTGTCAGTTTTGTTTCAGTAGTTTCTGCATGTACAAGGTGAAAGTATTAATAAAAAATAATGTTTGACTACTGTTTAACCACTTATAAAGCTGACTGAAATTATGGAAAGCTTTTTTTCCCTCCCAATACATTATATGAGATTCTAGTCTGTTAAAGACATGTCCTTTTCACTCCTTTCTGCCAGCTACCAGTATTGGAAGGAGGGGAGGTGAAGAGCCAACTCCACCAGACGTAACCTCAGTGTTTGGGAACCAGCCTTTAACGTGGAGCGGCCCTTGTGGAAATGGCCAAGAGCTTCCTCTGCATGGGGCAATCTGTTCCTTGCAGACACTGCGCCATCCCTAGCTTTCGTTTCTAGGCATTTGTTTTGTAGTCTTCTGAACTGGCATGACTTCTTCCCTGTGATGACTTTGATATTCTGCCTACAGATGTAGGAATTTCCCCAGCTTTATCAAATAGGTCTGGGACAAGACCAACAGCTCAAATTTCATGGTGGCATCTGGGCTTCACCTGGAAACAGCATGGCATGTCCTATCGCTACTCTTCTGAATCCCAAACTGGGAAATAGTTTTAGTATTGCCAATCGTTAGCTGAGGTGGTTGTGATAAAATGTTTGTAGTGGATCCCGTAAAGCGAGTCAATTTTAACTTGAAAATGTAATCCCAGTGACAGCAAAATTTTACAGCCTTTTTCTAAACTCACTCTCTCAAGGTATCGTTTCAATCATTTAGCGATTCTCAGCCAAACTAGAGAATTGTCCTCGTCAGATGAGGAGGAGAATGTATCAACCCCAGACGGCTGGGCAGCAGCCGAACCGCCCGCCCTGACACGAGGGGGGGGCACGGCGCCTCTCCTTCCCGCCTCAGGGGATGCCTGAGGGGGACGGGGGAACGCGGCCGCGGGCCGGGCCCTGAGGGGACAGTGGCAGCAGAG